ATAAGAAGGCATTGGCTTTCAACCTTGCACACAGCATTTCTCCCTTGGCCTGCCACCCTCTCCTAACCGGTTTGCTCTGCTCTCCTTCACAGTGCTGACCTGGATCCTGAGCTTCACATCTCCTGATAGCTGAAGATGCTGCCACTCCACCCCAAATATGAAAGCATCTCCTGTTCCCTTCCACTTGCCCCCAGGCCTGAGAGGGAACTAAAGAACAGGTTGGTTCCCCACACACACCCCAGCACCAAAGCCACTAGCCAAAGCCTGGACCCAAGAACCAGAGCTAACCACCATGTCAGCAGTACCCAAATAAGAAGCCATGAAGCTAGTTTTTGTTTTTTCCCTCCACTGAAAAGATTTGTGACTCTAGTTAACATCAATATTTTTCTCATCTGCACTACATGGAAAAAATAATAATAATAAAAACACTGAAGCCCTAACAGTGCTCCAGCTCTTTGTGTCGCTCTGACATCCAGAGTGATGTACTCATGCAATAGAAGACAGCAACATTAACACATTCAGTACATAATAGGCTTTACGAAGTATTAAGGCATAGCTTCCAAGTTCAGTGGACCTCTACAAGTTTTTCTGAGGCTTAACCAAAGAACAAATGCAGCAAAGTCAAAATGAGCAAGCATCTCAGTTGCAGCAGTCTTCAAAATAATTCTTGCTAGCTTCCCTGCAGGCCTTTTTCAAATTATTTGTGCAAGACAGTGTGCGCTTTCCAGATTTTCCTTTCCACTCTGCTGGGATAGGTGGATTATAAAGGAACATATTCAGTTTGCTATCCTCAGTACCTAAATTGGAATGAAAAACTATTTTCCTCAGCTTGAATGCATCATCTTCACTATGACCATGACTGTTTAAATCCTGTTGCTTTAAAAGAATAAGATGTATATTGTTTTGTTAAATGGTTTTACGTGACAATTCGAAATGAAATATAGCTAAATGCATACTGCTTTGTACCTGAGCAAACTCACATGGGTAACCAATTAAAAAGAGATCTAAAAGAAACAACCATTTATCTGCAGAGACTAAAAGAAACAAAACACCAACAACCTTCCAAAAACAAGCCTCAGCTCATAGTCGGAATACATAACAAATTAATGAGATTCCAAAAAAAAATGAGCTTCAGAAATAATAGTTTTACTGCACATTATAAAGTATGTCTCTGTGTTTTACAGACCTTCTGTTGACTCACTCCTTCCCACAGATGACAGCCTTCTTTCCTCTTTTGCTTTATCATCGTGCCCTTTACTCTGCAGATAACTATCCTTTCCTGTCAGACACATACCTATGCAAGTTCAAAGATATATTCGCTAACTTGAATTTAGCTTTGAAATCTGCTGCTTGCACTTCATGATTGAAAACAAGTTTTGCAACTCAAATTGTTTACCTACTCCGGCTCCATAACAATTAGACTAACAAGAGTTATCACCTCTGTGAACAAATGTTGTTTTTTTAATGCAGTCATTTAGCTTCATGAGCTCAGGCTTTTAGAATAACATCAGGAGTTGATATTTGCAATAAAGCCCCAGGAGTTGGTATCTCTGCTAACTTTGTGACCTCCAAATCTCAATAGACTTTCTGGGAAGTTCTGGAACTTGCCAGTTTACGTGTTACTGACATATACTCTTAGGCAAATATGAATCATTGCCTAGGTACAACCAAATTCTGCGATTTGTCCATGGGCTTATGCTCACTGCAACAATTTCAGGGCTGATTTGCTTAGCATCCCTCCCACAACACTACTGACCCAAGCCTATTCACGATATAAACCAGTGCAAACTGAATACGTGAGGCACGGAGGTTCAGGGCACAGACCTAGAGCTGAGATAAACGTATCTTTTTATTTGGCAGTCTCCCTACATTTTGATGAAACATGAAGGACCTCATGCATCCTGAAGAGTCCTACCACATAGGAGAAGGAATACATTAACTGCCCAACATACCGTTTACTTGCATGCAACGTTGCAAAGTGGCAGCCCACAATGCATTCCTGCCCTGGTAGATCCTGGTGCAGATTATCAGCATGAACTCTGCTGATAAGACTTTCACCGAGGTCATGCAGAAAGTCACTGGCAGAGTTTAAAGTAGAAAATACAGAGAAAAACTCTTTGCCTTTGGTTTCCAGGAGGAAAGATTTCAGCACTCAACTCCTTAATTCAAGTCTTCTGCTACAGCTGTAAGAGCAGCTTCTCACACACACAGCAAACAGTACAGGAATCAAGAAAGATACAAAAGGAGACCAACTAACTACTGAAATGTGCAAAGTCTTTATTTCTTTAAGATATTGCATAGATTCTGAAGATGACTAAGAATTTTATTCATGAAAAATCTACCCCAAATAACTCAAAGAACATTCAGCGTGGGAGGTTCTTTTGCAAAAATTAAATAGCAATTGTGATGAAGTAGTATCTTGTGTTGTTACCAAAGAATTTACATTTTGCTCATGCTCTTACCTAACTGTGTATAGCCAGGAACCATACACAAGGGATACCAGACAAGTTGTTACCTCAAAATGTAGAGTTATTTAAGAAGAAAAAAAGGGGGGGGAGCAAAAGGAAGGTTGATTTTAAAAACAATCTTAGGGCAAAATTCTCATTTTGGAGGTACCCAACAGATCTCACTTCTAGTTGATATCAGCTGATGATCTGCACAGAGCCAGTTTTAGCTAGCATTTTCTGAATTGCTAAGTACAGAGCATTTTGGATCTATTCGTGCTTGAACTACATATCACTGAGTTACCTGTATCCATAGCAAATGCCTCATGATTTGAAACCTTGTGCCTCAAAAGACTTGCCAGAAGACAACAAAGGCTATTGGCACAAACCAGTATTTGCTATAGAATTTGTAGAGTATGCTTTTTAGAATTCTCCCATTCTCCCTCACCTTTGCTATATCCACAGGAACGTTATTTTAGTAAGTGAAGCCGTGAGTCCTTTCCTTTCAAGAGCACCATCTAGATGTTTCATGAACATTAGCACATCAATAGTTACTCTTCCAATACTGTCATTAAAGCATGTGTATTTTTTCAGGATCTCAGTTTTCAAAGCTGTTGATAACTTAGAAGTAAAACTAAATAAAAACTTAAAAGAAACCTTGAAAACCTTATTATACACACTGGGTAGATAAAAAAAAATAACTGGCTTTTGAGGGGCACAGCATTACGTCCAAAACTACTGCCCCTTAAGCATTCAGCTTAGGGTTGAGGGCATAATACTTATTTGTTGTCTTACTTCTGTAAATCCAAAAGAAAAAAGTATATCATGGCTATATCCTGATTTGCTTTTTAAAATGTATAAAAACAGTTCTCCTATTTCAAATGTCTTTTGCTTAACAGTAAAACAATACATTTGTTCAGCTGAGATCAAACACTGTCCTAAACTGATGGAGTTAGACAACGTGCTATTATGCTTCAAAGTCACATGTAGCACTTATCAAATGAAACGTCAGAAAAGCAAGGCATTTAAATGCATATTTGACATACTTTTTGCAACTCAGTATGTTTCACTTCTCAATGGGGCTGTGGGTGGGAGAGGAAAAGGTTGGTTTATTATGGATTTGAGAGTAAAGGCATTGCTTGGCAATTCAAATCATCAGATGCTACAACTGCCCACTGCTAGATGTTGCCACGTTCTGGAAAAATACATGCCAGAAATCATCATGATGCGTATCCAGAGAGAGCCCTTACAATCACTGTCTGTATGCTGCAACATTATACAGCCCTCATGCTGTAATTCCAATGTGAGTAATTTCTGAGGAAACTTTCAAGCCATTCATTCTTGTTTGTGCATAACAACATTTACTATTCCCAAGTACCCCATGTCACTGGATTTACATCAAGCCTTGAACAATGAAGCAAAAGTATTGTCTTTTGAAAGGTCCAAATCTGCTGCTGCCATTTTGTAAACTAACTTCTATGCTACTAGGTTCTGGTCAGTCAAAGCAAGGTTTCTCTCACATTTTGTCTCCAGTTCTCTAAGGGGGAAAAAGTATTTACCACCTCTTGATTAATGTGAGTATACTTTACTCATTTAAAATAATGTGTTAAAAAAAACACAAAGCACATTAAGATTACATTAATAAACTAGGCTAGATGTAGATGCCTCAATTCCACACACATTAAATCTACAGTTTGATTGTCTTCATCACAATTTCATTAAAAAAAATAGCTATATTCATGAGCAAAGTTCCTGAAAATCATTGATTTTCCCCAGCTCCTTTCTCATCCTTGCATTAATGAACAAAGCCAAAGACAAATTTCATACTTCCATTTGGATTCTAACCAAGTACCATCACAAAGATGTTATTTACCATTTCTCACATAGAGGGCTCTTAGTCTCTTCTTGAAGATGTTAAAATCAGTATCATTAATTTATAAATGAAGGATCTGAGACTCAGAGGACTGAACTGGGTAATATAAGTTAGCAGAGGGACCTAGTCAACATGATCATGGTAATGCACAAGAAATACTATCCTTGAATTTACACTGAACTAGCTACTCTCTTCTACAGCTCATTTGAATGTCTCAATTTGCCTACAAGAAAATAGTGAAAGTAAATTCAGATAAACGTTACTAAAAGCAGATTAATAAAATTACATTAAATTTTTAGAGCCATTCAGTTAAAATGTAAATGCTTTTAATTTGATTTAATGTACTTCACCGAGGAACTAAATGAGCTAAAAACACTTAAGTTGCACTTAAAAGCTCTTGCATAGAACTACTGTGTAATTTTAAAAGCTCCATTTCCAAAGTGAACCTTAATACAGATTAATTTTTCCAAGTGTTAGTATGGTGACAAGCCCTCTGCATACACTAAAGGTCACTTTTTCAAAGAAGATGAATAACCTTTTATGTAGCATAATAGATGGAGATCACTGATGATTTGCTGCAGACCTATACATTCACCTCAGACTATGACACATCAATTTCTCACTTACCTACCCTAAAGTAATAGAATTCAGATCACCTTGATCTGAGGTTAAATGTTACCCACCTACTAGAAGTCAAATCTTCATTTTTGATCTCGTAGCAAAAAACAGTTTCCAACTTGGTCTCAACCAGATTTATCAGTTTTATGGTCTCTTAAATCTGAAGGGCAGATTTCACATAAAACAGCTAATCTTATTTACTAATGTGAAGATTGGTCGTCTACAGAAGGATTAGATTTTGCATTGTTTAATTTCACATATGTCTTCACTTCAGTTGATTGAAATGTTCCTCCTTCAGAAGCAGTTTTCCAGCTTTCCTTGTGACAAGATGGTTTCTTGCAGGAGGTTCCTTGAGGACATAAGAAGTAGGCTGATTATTTTGTGAGCAAAGCTTCCTCACATCTATAAAGGCTGCATGTGTAAAACCCTTCACCAAGATGACCATGCTTGAGAGTCAGGCACCAGCCCACAAACTCCTTTGTGAAATCACAGAAGGACTCTGCCTTCCAGTTCAGAACATTTAGTAGTACACAATGAGATCTGGAGATGCAATTCTTCCTAACATTGCCTTTTCACCTGACAGCTGCTACTCCACAGCAAAGCCATAGAAACTGTCCTGTAGGTCAGGTCTTTCATGCAACCCAACAATCACCTCACCCAACCTACACATCAACATCCCGGAGGGTGGTGGCCCAGGGGAATAGGTCAGCAGCCAGAGTTGGAGGGGAAGGCAAGGAGACCCAACCACGAAAGTGCAGGAACTAGTGTATGGCAAGTTGGTATTTGACATCTTGGTCTTGATGGGGATGAGAACAACAATCACAACAACCACCACACACATTCCTAATATTGTCAACTAATGAAAGTAAAATAAATATAAAACTAGAAGAGGTTGCATAATTCATACAAGTCAGCATGCAAAGGTAAATCAGATTCTTCTACAACTTGAAACCTAACCTGTTAGCTTGTGCAGAAGACTATGAACTGTTTTCACTGAGATTTTAGCTTAAATTAGTTAAATTAAGAACCCACCCTTTTTCATAGTTAATTCAAGGCTACAGATGAAACCAGAAATGCATCTCCTCCCACTCCTATCACCCACCTCCACAGAAAAATATTTAAATAGCAGAGATTTGTAATCTAGAACAAAGAGTAATATTCTATTAAGTATCAGCTCATTTAAATAAAACTCTCTCCAGCTTTAATGCATTCTGAAATGCCTCCTCACTGCTTTGTTATTTACTTGATATGTCACACTAGGTCTCTCAAACATTAGGATACATTTTTTATGTATATAAGCCTGTAATAATAGATTTAAGGTATTTATAATTTCAAATAATTGCCTGAATGTCTTCTGAATATCAGTAAAATATTCTGTAGCTACATAGCTGACTTTTTGTTACAGCTTCATTACCTAAAGAATTCTTTACTGTTTGCAAGTATTCCAGAATTCCTGATCATTTTAACTGAACGCACATAAATAATCTCTTTCCCACTAACCTCTTATGTGGGCCATTACTACAGAACTAAATCTCACAATCTGATGTATTTATTCTCATGATATCCACCTTAGATAGCAATACCAGACAGCATTAATTACTACATCGAGAGAAAAAACTAGTAGGTAATCACATACACCAAAAGCATACAAAAGCTTGAAATATAAGATCAGTAATTGAATGGAGCTGAAATACAAATTTACCCAATTTTAGGATAAAGCATCAAAGACCAGGACATTCTCATGTGACATACAAGGGTCAACCCCTATTGTTCTCATGGTGATGACTTCAGGTTGGAAAGGTCAGAAAGATACAACTCACTCTCCACAAAATTGTTCAAGAAATATAAACACAATGTGAAGTATGTTCACTCTGTGCCTATTAAGCATAACCAGAAACTAAATCTGGGGTGAAATGAGGATAAAAATATGCAATTTAACTGAACACAAACAAGGTAATACCCCAGAGAAACCAAACTTATTTTTTCCATCATAAATCTGAAATGACTGAATAAACTGTAGTGAAACAGAGATGAGTAGCTCATCCAGCTAATGGGATGTGTGCAGTATAATGCGTAACAGGAGTAGCCAGAAGCATTCGCTGCACAGAATGAAGTATTCATGAGTACTTTGGTCACATCAAGAGGGACTTTTGAACCTTGAGAACTATTATTCCCTCTACAATAACTAACCAGACCCTCTTTCCTGATGTGAAGCTTCCAGATTAAGCTTGGAGCACATTCACTTGCCATGTAACTCGGTTGTAGTTGTAGTGTCCTGAGTTGCCAGCTCAGCGCAGACTGTCCTTTCTCCCAACAGGCTTTTCACAATGAGCACTGACTCAGGCTCCAGCAGAACAAGAAGGTAGACAGCAATAGCAGATCAATTAGAAAGCAGCAGAAATGCCCTAGCATTTGTGAGATAAGGGCAGGGAGATCAGACAGCTCCCCTGAGAGAGGGAGTTAGGAGAATACAATATACAATCTTACTGATTGTGGAGTCCGTTTTCCCCAAGTCACCCCAGCAGCAACTACCCTGAAGGGACCAAGAACAGATGGCTTCACGGTTTTAATAGGCTACATAAGGTAAGATACAGTACCATCCAAACAGCACAGGACTGATAATATCTTTAACCTCAATGTAATAACCAATCTAAAAAAAAAAAAAAAAAAAAAAGATGACCAAAAAAAACACAACCCGGAACTGTACTAAACCTACTTAAGTGTCTGATTCAAAAATTCAAAGTAGTTTTCAGATGGCAGATTGCATTGTGTAAACACTCCTTTGCAGCAGGGAGAAAAGTTGGGATTTGTAAAGAACAAGGATGTGATTTTTGTAAAAACAGAGTATTATGTAGATATCTATCCAACCCCCAGTGGTAGGGGGGCTGGAATTAGAAGATCTTTAAGGTCCCTCCCAACACATATAATTCTATGATAAATTATTTTATATATTTATATAAATTATTTGATTTTCTATTTATCAAGTACTTGTAAAAGTGCTCAGTGTTATCACTGAGTGAAACTAAGTTAAACAAGAAAATGTCATCTTCTGTAAGAAACTGACGATCTAACTGACAAAAGGGGATAGAGAAGATGCAGTGAGAACCCCAAGATGAAAGATGAATGTTTTGATACCTTTGCATTTGATTGCTTCCTGTTTGCACATCTGAGCCAGTGTTCTTGCTACAAGGTGGCTGACACATGGGCAAGTGTTTCAGAGCAGACTATTGGTAAGGCACTTCAGAAGCAGAAGTAGCACAGAGAAAGCCAAAGTCAAGATGAGGCAAAAAAGACAAATTTGGAATCACTATTAGCACAGGGAAGAGAAGCATGAAGGATGAATTAAGTAATCTGAAAAGAGCTGAGGATAAGGAAATAAAGCTGCAGGACTTGACACTTAGAACATAAAGTTAATAGAGAGCCACTGTAAGAACTTGCAGCTGATGCTGATGTAATAAGAGGAAGATAGACCAGAGCTACCCTGCTCTGCAGGATAGTTAGAATAATCATCACGGCTATTCAGAAGACATACCCGATGAATGCAGGCAATGAAGGAATTCAGTACCTCCTGTTTAAAGTGAGAGAAACAGTAATGCAGTTAGAGGAAAAAAAAAAAAAAAAAAAAAAAAAAAAGATGAGCAGTTTTGCTGTTGTTGTTTTTTGTGTTTTTTTGTTTGTTTGTTTGTTTGTTTTTAAGCCAAGCTCTCAAGACTTCAGAGCACATTCATTACTAGAAGACCAACATGTCACATCTCTTTATAAAAAGTTTGTGAGTATACTAGCCAAGAGTTATTTTGGCAAAGTAAAAACACTGCTGTTGCAGATGGGCTTCATACAAACGAGTTATTATTTTCTTAATAAATGTGCTTTTTCCCCAAAAGAAATTCTCAACCTATGCAAGCCCTCAAATTTATTTTTCTCCTCACCTACAAATATAAGACAGAATACGACATTGTTTGTTTGTTTTCTTTACTTGATAGGAGACTGATTTTTTTCTCCAGTTTGGTGGTATTCCAAGTGAAAAGGACAGCAGATACACTTTTGGCAACTGTACAGGGTGTTGTATTTTTTTCCCCCCATAAAACACTTCACTGTGCCAGCTTTCTGTGAGTAACCTCAGAAATAATATACTTTTTCTGACACATGACAGTAGTGCAGTTAGTAAATAAATTAGACCCATATGAAAATGTGATTCATGTGCAGTGTCATTACTCCGAAGAATAAGGTGGTGCAGGGCTATCAGAGGCCATCCTATACACAAACCTTCAAATGAAAATTCTTCCCCCAGACTTTTGCAAAGCCCTTTTTGCAGCTCTTCAACACTTCACAGTCACTGTACAAGACTTTCAAGCCACATAAGTGTCCCTCTCGCAAGGAAGCATGAAGGTCCAGCACAAAACTGATCAGACAGAACTGCATCCTCATGACACCTCACACACGGACAGAGTAAGAGGCATCAGTGGTTTCACTGCAACCATACAAAAACTAAATGAGTTTGAGAGGTTTCAGATAATTATCTTTTTTTTTTCTGCATAAAGAACAGGAAGGCACAAACAAGCATAAAAATATAGTATGGAAGCAACACTTTCACCACAAGACATACAAATGACTGTTCGTAAGTCTGGCTACATTACAAAAAGTTTGTAACATGCACATGTCATAGTTTGCACTGAGAATAAGTATTTTAGTATTTGAACTAGGCTAGCGATCCTTAAGTCAGCGTTGCCTGCCATGCCATGCAAGTGCCCTCAGTCAGCATATGTAAAAGATCACCCTGCTGAAGGCTTTTCATACCAAGATCTCACACACATGCTCAGAGCAAGTAGCTATTGCCGGCACCATCAGCCAGAACACATGTATGCCTGTGATTTTTACACAAATTGACGTCACATCCAGAACGAGCAAATTTCAAGATGCCATACTCTACACAGAGAAGTTTATTAATACCAACCCTTTTTACTTCCCCCTCCTCTCCCACATGTCAGCAGTTACAGGTCCAGATCTAGAAGATGAAGGGGATTACTGCAGAAAGCCGAAGAGCTTGGCAGTATAACCAGACTGGGAGTAGGAAGCCAGGCAGATGCAAAAGGCCTGGTCTGACACAGCTTCTGACCCACTTTATCAGCTTGGCCACGCTGCTTTCCTTCTTGGTGCTGCTGCTTCTCTCCATCTCTGTACGAGCTTACACAATCAGGCTGAAATCTTCAGGGCAGCGACTGCCTCTCCCCATGCTTGGTGAGCAACAGCTTATAGGCTTGACTCATAGCTTAGTGAAAGAGAGGGGCTGATTTTACTGGGATCTGCCATGCCAAGAATAAAACCATCATTTCACTTAAATAATGAAGAGTA